ATTTATGTAGCTACGGGCTTGTGGTTCATGTTAATTTGCAATGAATTAACACAAAAAGACCCACTGGCGTCATTCTGTGGAACTGACCTGCAGCTGGTGTTGTGATATTTGTGGTTGGGACTTCATGCTTATGTTTTATAAGCTGTGTGTGCACAGAGGCAACACAGCGATGGAAAAGAGGGGAGGGCTGATAAGAATGGAGAGCCAAGGGTGGAGGCAAACGTACAACATGGAAACATTACTCTGGGAAGGCATGACTTCAGCTGAACCCGAGGCTGTAGACAAATAAAACCCAGTGATATTTACACTGGGGCAAATGAGGCCAATGTACAAACAAAGATACTGACGGCCTGTTGCATGCTGTAGCTGAATTCTCCGATATTATCGGTTTCATTTAATTTAATTTATGTAAACAAAGAGTGTTTCTCATGACACCTTCAGCGTGAACACTTGTGACACCATAGTTACAACCCCAATTCAAAAAAAAGAAGTTAAGACGCAACGTAGATAAAAACAGAACTCAATGGTTTGTAACTCTGACAAAGCCATATTTTGTTCCCACAGTATAACATAAAAATGATTTTAAATATGTAAACTCAGACATTGTATCATTTGGTTTAAAATAATGGCTTGTTTTGATTCATGGGAGCAACAAAAGCCCAAAAAGGTAAACGATAGTAAAAAGAAACAGTTAGAGGAGGACACAGTGACTGTACTGTTCTCTCTCTGTGTTGGACTCCCTGAGCGTGAACAGCCAGCCAAACTCAAGAGCCAGGAAGGTGAGCGTACTTGCTCCTTTAATCACTTCGAACATAGTGTTGAACTGACATCATTGAACTGGAGTGAAACTAGAAACACATAAAACTAAACTCTTAATGGATTGTCATATAATCAGCAGGTAAGTATATTTAGCCACTAACACAGGAGACTACAAGATAAGCATCCTGTAGATATACAATCTGATATTAATGCAAAGAACAATAAGCAGGTAGTGGGCAAGTGTACACTAGCTCAGAAGCTACGACCTATAACTACTGCACTTCAAGAAGGTACAAAATAATGTCTCAAACAGCCTGTTACTAACGGTCTAATATACAAAGACTGACTGAACTGACTTTTGCTTTCTGAAGGATTATTTTGGATTCAACTCAAAAGATTTCACTGTTCCTGTCTATGCACATGTCAAAATAAAGGCTTTCCTGTCTATTCGGATGTCAAAATAAAAGCTTCACAATTTTCTGATGTATAACAATAGAAATAGAATTTCCTCTTATTTGTCTCATTAGCATGTGAACATATTCAAAACGGAACAGTGACTCGTCAGGTTAACTGACCACAGGTCAGTAACAGAAGTGAAAAATAGATAAATAACCCTGCATCTAGAAACTGTTCAGATATTTCAGAATAATGTCCGTCAGTGTGAAACTGTGAAGACTGTGTCATCGTAAACTGCACGTAATAGCAAAGGATTCTGAGAATGTGGAGAAACCTCCGAGCACAACCATCGAACCTGGAACTGATGGATGTGTGTGCGTTAAGGACAGGCACAATGGAGTCGTTAAATCCTCCAGTAGTGATGGTCTGCGAACACCAGGTACCACACAAGTGCAGCTTCTGTTGTTCTTCGAATGAAGGTGTGTTACATATCTGTGATACAAATATGTAACACACAGCAGCTGCTTATGACCACTGATCAGAGCAGGACAGAGCTGATCCACAGGAAACGACATGAGCAGAGGCTTTGAGATAAAACAGAGACGCTTCTTCTTCATACTGTCATAGTTAATATACACCACGTTGCAAATCATTATGCAAATTGTGTTTAAGTGTTATAACAATTAAATAAGTTGTTTTTCAATTAAACTCATCGATGGGATTGTGTCTCAGGACTCTTTGTATCACTGAAATCAATCTCGGACACCTGTGATCATTTGTTTGCCAGCTGAGCCCAATTCAAGGAAAGACTACTAAAGGAGGATGTTCCACATTATTAAGCAGGCCACCATTTTCATGGAATATGGGAAAGAAAAATGATCTCTGCTGCTGAAAAGCGTGAAATAGTTGACCGCCTTGGACACGTAATGAAAACCTCAGATATTTCACGAAAATTTAAGTGTGATCACCATAATGTTAAGAGATTTGTGGCTGAGTCAGAGCACACACGGGTTCGTGCAGATAAAAGCACAATGATGAAGGTTTCTGCCAGAGAGCAGCTGCTAAAAGGCCATTACAAAGCTGCAAACAGATATTTCAAGCTGCTGGTGCCTCTGGAGCCCTGCGAACGTCAAGCTGTAGGATCCTCCAGAGACTGGCAGCTGTGCATAAACCTTCTATTCGGCCACCCCTAACCAATGCTCACAAGCAGAAACGGCTGCAGTGGGCCCAGAACCACATGAAGACTTTCAAA